TAAAACACCAAACAAACAAAAAAAGGTTCAGATGATTCAAACCGTTTCTCTGTGGCAAACTTAACAATATATAGAAACATCAAACAAAAGCCAAAGACAGAAGAAACACAAGCTTATGGTTGTTGTTAACTTTCTGTTTTCAGACTTGAGCTGTGCCTTCAGTAAACTTGGGATCCTCGCATCTGTACCGTCCATCGGGTCCAATTCCAAACCCTTTCGGATCAGCAAACACATTCTCTAGCAACTGACTGCGACCTGGTTGTGGACTCGCGTCTGCAAACTCAACCGCTTCCTCCACCAACTCGTCTATCTTCTTCTCTATCGACTTTAGCTCTGCTTCGTTCGCGAGCTTGTTCTCTGTCAAATACTTCTTCAATGCTGTGATCGGGTCTCTAGCCGCATATTTGGCTTTCTCAGCTGCAAGAAAATAACAAAATCCAATTGTAACTCATCATAAAAGGCTTCATAATTTACGGTTGGTTCAATCCCGCAAAACAGCAATCTCGATTTAAAGTAGTAAAAGTTGAAAAACTACAAGGAATGAGACATTTACCAGCATCACGGAGCTCATCGGGATCAGCCAACGAGTGTCCTCTGAATCTATAAGTCTCACATTCAACCAAAGTTGGACCTTCTCCTCTTCTAGCTCTCGTGACTGCCTCTTTAGCCACGTCTCTTACCTTCAACACATCCATACCGTCAACATGAACACCAGGCATCCCAAATGCAGGACCTTTCTTCCATATCTCAGGGTCAGAAGTCGCTCTCAAGTGAGACATCCCGATCGCCCACAAGTTATTCTCAACAACAAAGATAATAGGCAATTTCCACAGTGCAGCCATGTTCAAACATTCGTAGAACTGTCCGTTATTACAAGTCCCATCTCCAAAGAACGCGACAGTAACATCTTCGCAATTCTGTTTCAAGACTTCCCTCTTATACTTTGAGGTAAACGCAGCACCGGTCGCCACGGGAATCCCTTCACCTATAAAAGCAAACCCACCAAGCATGTTGTGTTCTTTAGAGAACATATGCATCGATCCACCTTGACCTCTGCAGCATCCCGTAACCTTCCCGAAAAGCTCACTCATCACGGCACGAGCCGATACACCTTTGCTAAGCGCGTGGACATGGTCACGGTATGTGCTAACCACTGAATCCGTCTTAGTCAGAAGCTTGATAAAACCAGTAGACACAGCTTCTTGCCCATTGTACAAGTGAACAAAACCAAACATTTTTCCTCTGTAATACATTTGAGCACACATGTCCTCGAAAGATCGACCTAGAATCATGTCTTCATACAACTCCAATCCTTCCTCTTTCGTTATCAACTATTTCAAAACACAATTCAAGGCACATACAAAATTGTGAAATCTACAAACTTTCGATTCCTCTACCACAGATTTCGATGATTACTAGTTAGGATCAGTGCACTGAACACGAATTGCTTATAAAGTAGTGAATTTTTGAGTGAATTGTAGAATGAGACTAACCAGGCTATTGGTGGGTTTCTTCTGCTTGACAACTTCCTGGACTCCGACGACGGGAGATCTCCGGGAAACGTTAACGTGATTGAGTTTCGGAGAAGAGTGAAGGGAGAGAGAACGGGTGGATCCGAGGAAAGAAGAAGGAGGAGCTAAACGGATCGGAAGGGAGAGACGATTCTCTTGAGATCCATGGAGAGAAGAGACGGTGGCAGTGAGCTTTGTGGGAGAGAAAGCCGTAGCCATTGTTGTGTATGTATCAATGGAGGCCAATGAGATTCAGAGATTT